TTGAGAATTGAGTTTTGTACTCATCCAAGGGTTTCCTTGGATCCTTAGACTGCGTTTACCTTCCACCAAGAAGGGATTTGGGGATATTTCAGGGAGAGAAACTGCCAGGAGAGAGCGGCCTGGGGCAAAGCTTTGGCTGCAACAGTGAGAAAGGAGATTTGGGAGAATACGTGGAATGAATTCCAGTTTGGAGCATTCCCTCGGGATGAGGGGCTGTTGGGACACGCAGCTCTTTGCTGGGCCGTGGGCTGGACACTGTTTCTGCAACTACTGTAGTAGAAATTTGGATTCTGCTGACTTGCCACAGGCTGTGATTTCTGGTTACACCGTGATTCCTGTGCAGGAATTCAGGCATCTTTTAACAGCTGCCCTGGGACAATTTTATTTCTCTTCTTTTCCCTTTTATTTTAATTTTTTTTTCTTTCATATAAATCAACTAAAGATTCCAAACCAAGCCTTTCACAGCCTGATCTGGGTGCTGGTTGCTTGGGGGGTGGTTTGGATGRTTCCCCCTCACCAAAAGGAGGGCAGCTGGCATGAGCTGTGTTGGAATGCAGATCATGCTGGTCCCTGGGCTACTGGCCAATGGCCACCACTGGCCTCTGTCTTGGCTTTAGGATTTGTGCTCCCAAGTTTTCCCTGAGCAGTGGGGGTTTTTCAGTGGAAAGAAGTCTTTAGTCCCAGCCTGTGGAGGTYCTGGGTTTGTGTGAATAAGGGAATGAAGGAGCCGAGGGGAGGTTGGAAGGAGATTTAGCAGAGTGCTGAGCACATGCTGGGAATAGAAGAGCCCTTCAAAGCTGATGGTTGTGTCCAGGGGTGGGGGCGGGTGTTCAGCTGAACAAATTGTTCACTTTGGCTTCTTTGCAGGCAGAAATGTTACGATCAGCTAATGAGATTGTTCTCTAGCCTTGTGGGGTTTTCTCTTCCTCCCTCAGAGTCATCATGAGAGTAGGTTTGGCAGGGCTTTAACTCTTACACCACACACTGATCTGGTTTTGCATGCTTTGATCCAAAAAATAATAATAATAAAATAATAATAATAATAAAACAAGGTTAAAAGCTTGGTGAGCTGAAGAATGAATGTGAAGAATATACGGGGGTAGGAGCAAAGTGAAAAATAGCAGCTGAATTGTTTCCAATCTCTTTCTTTAGTGAGGTACAGTTAAAGATTACAAGAGCAATTTAAAAAATGACATTTGTGTCTGTCATAGAGTCACAGAATCCTGGGATGGCTTGGGTGGGAAAGGACCTTCAGGCTCACCCAGTGCCACCCCTGGCTGTGGTCAGCTGGTGGGCATCTCCAGATTTCCCAGTGCTGCACCTCATTCAGTGGGCACATCCTGCTTATCTTATTGAAGAAARGTTCATCCTGTACCTCCTGGGCTCTGTCCTAACGCTCCGTGGAAGGAGGTACCACCTTCCCAGTTTGCCTCTGGAAGGTGAGGGAGGCTGAGCTGTGTGTCTTTGGAGGGAAGGTCTCAAAACCCTGAGCTTTGAACCACTTTTCAGTGATTTTTTTTCCATCCAAAGCTGCGTAGGAAAAAAGCAGAGTAAATACGGTGTGGCCTCTGCGTTGGAAGGTGATTGCATTCCAGGGGACAGAAAAGCCCTGGGAATACACCAGTGCAGAATGGAGGAGGGGGAACCATATGGAAAGTGCCTGGAAAGCTGGAGCTTCTTGCCTCGTGTTGTGGCATTAATCTGAGTGTCCGAGGCTCTCRGAGCCACCGAGAGCTGTGCCAAAGGCATTCTCTGCTTCCCAGTGAGTCCCTCCCATGGCTGTTCCAGCTCTCAGCCTGCTTGGCTGCCTGCAGTTCCTCATTGTTTCTGTGTTGTGTTTCTCTCTCTTCTGGCATTGACTGTTTCTTCCAGCATGACTGGTTATTCCTCATTTAACATCAAGATGGTTTAGGTTTGCTCAATTACTTGGAGTGGCAGAAAAAAATCTCCTTCCAGACCCTGGTGGCTGTTTCTCATTCATTCTGCTGACTCCTAGAAGTGCTTCTGATAATGTAGTTCCCCTTCAACCTGTAACTTTCCAATCTGAAATCAGTTCTGTCTCCCTTTTTTTATTCTGCTCTGTGTCATTACCAGGATAGTTTAGCAGCAGCTGGTGGGTCTGCTCTGCTCACTTTGCAGCTGGCCCTTTAGTAGGGCAGTCTCCTGGTGAAAAATAAATCTGCTAATCTCTAATTCCCTCWGTTTGTTGGGGCTGGCTCTGTCTGCCTGGTTGGAATTCGGCTGCACGGACTCAGCAGAAAGCAGCGTGGGCTGGTGGGTGGATGGGCTGACTGAGGGACTTGAAACTGAGATTGAGATGGGATATTGGGAAGAAATCCTTCCCAGAGAAGCTGTGGTTGCTCCTGGATCTCTGAAAGTGTCCAAGGCCAGGTTGGATGGGGCTTGGGATCATGGAAGGTGTCACTAGTGATCCCTGTGCCAGGGTCTCACCACCCTCACAGGGAGGAATTTCTTCCCAATATCCCATCAGACCCTTCCCTCTGTCATTTTGCAGCCATTCCCCCTTGTCCTGTTCCTCTGTGCCTTTGTAAAAAGTCCCTCTCCATCTTCTGGAGAGTAGAGTTTCTCTGTAGAAGAAACTCAGAGTTTCTTCTGGTTTAGAAAGAAAGGAGGGGAGGTTTCAGATCCCCAGTGATCACTGCAGGATGTCACACTCGCTGTGTTGCGCAATGCTGAACAAGAAAATTATAATTTTCACCAAACATGTTGATATTAAAGCTGAGGAATATCCATAGGTGCTTATCCCAGAGCTGATCCCCAGGAAGGGAACATCCATCCYATGATGTTGCTGCCAGCACCTCGCAGGGAAGGGTGGGACCAAACTGGGAAAGGCTCAGTTCTAAATATAGAGACACACTACGCTCGGTGCTGTTTTGGAAAGTGTGGCTGAGCCATCATTCTGTTCCTCCCCTCCTCCACTGCTGCCGCAGGGTGTCARAGGATGAAGTGTACATTACTGTGTTTCGCTTTCTTGGGTTATTTTTGGTTCRAATCCAGTGGGTTTTTCTGGGGTAGGATGTGTCCTGATTTTAAGGTGAGGAGCAGGTCTGCTGCTGCTTGCGCTGCCATGTCACTTAAGAAACTAAATGGATTTAAAACAATTTTTTTTCATACTTAATCTCAATTTGTGTGTAATCTGAGCAAAACAATGAGCTGTATCTAACAGCTCAGGCCAGTGTTCCAGCAGCCAGAGGTGCTTTGTAATGCTGGGATAGGCAAACCAGCAAATTGGCACTTTGGACGTGCTCTTAACAACATTTGATTCTAAAACCTTACTTCTAAAAACAACTCCCAGGGCTCTGTAGATCCCCAAAGAGAAAACTGCTGAAATCTGGGTTTACATAGGGAGATATTCCAGAGAGAAGGACTTGAACTTCTGAAGGTTTTTAGGAAAAGGTCTTGGAGAAGGCTGTGGGTACCTTCCATGGGCTCTGCAGGGACATCTCCCATGCAGCCAAAGGTCCAGCAGGAATATGGATAGTGTGTCTTGTTCTAAATCCATGGATTTCACTTGCATTTTGAAGCAACTCCTCCATTTCAGGGTATTTCTGTCAGTCTGTTTGAAACTTGTAATAACCCTGGGACTTCTGTGTATTTATTTAATTTAGTAGCAGTTATGCCTAAATCAGGACAGAGGCCCAGGAGATGCAGATTTTTCGAAGAACTTGATGATTTCTGCTCCTTCCCATCTCTGCAGCTGGGGCTGCGTCAGTACAAAACCTCATTTACCACGTGCTGCCTCTGCTGTAGTGGCTGGTTTCATCTCTGAAATGGGTTAATCTGAGCAGAAGACTTTCTGGTTTGATTTTGGAGGAAACATCTGGACATCCCCTGCCCCGTGTGCTCTGGCTGGTTCAAAATTGCTATGCAGAAAGAGGGGGGGGAGGTGGGCAAAGGGAATTATTTTGTGATTAATTTCTTAATTGCTGAGCATCCAGATGTGGTAAAGGCTTTGTGCAGCAACACTGGATTTGTCAGCACTTTCTGCTGATGCTTTGTTTCCACATCATGTCGAGGTTTTCTTCCTTTCTGAACAGCCTTAATATTTATCCAGAATCAGAATCCTTRATATTTATCCGGAATCAGAATGCTTAGGGTACATTTTCATGGTATTGTGGCTTTTAATGTGGAGAGTGGAGCCATGGATTTATCCATTTCTTACCATCTTTGTGTTCTTCCTGCCCTGGAGTGCAGCAGTAGGGATTGAGGGTGTTTTGATGACAGYTGATGTTATTTCCTGGCTTCTTTATTTGCAGAAATGAGGTTTTTGCTGCCTGCTGTCCTCTGCAGCACCTCATTGCAGGGGAGCAGCAGTTGGTCCTGTCCAAGCAGTGKTTTTTTACTCTTCCACCCCGGCAGTGTTGGTTGTAAAATTTGTCCCTCATCTTTGATTGTGGCCTCATGGTCCGAGCTGCTGTTCAGGTGGATTTAGGGACCGATGACAGATGCTTTTTTAATGACTTCAGTCACTGAGTACCAGAAGATGTTGGAATATTGCTCTGCAGAGATGTGGCCCTTGCAGCACATCTGTAATTCCATGGTTTTTAGTAGCAGTGGTGAGACATTGACTGAGATACGGATTCTGTTTAGGGGGTTGTATGTAAAGTTAATTAAAGAAAMTTTGTGGGTTTATAATAATTGAAATAATTAATAATTAGTTTTTATTTGTGTATAATATATAGCATATGGGTAAAGTTTGGTTTGGATTTTTGTGGTGTTTTGGTTTTTTTGGGGGGCCTTTTTCTGGTTTTTTTTGTTTTGTTTTTGTTTTGTTTTTTGGGGTTTTTTGTTAATTTTTGTTTTGTTTTGTTTTGTTTTGTTTTTGGGGTGTTTTTTGGTTTGGTTTGGTTTTTGGGGTTTTTTTTTAGGGTATCAATCCTGCCATCCACAATGAAACTTTTGATCCGCCTGTCAATTCTCCTTGGGATTTTTGTGGCCTGTGTAATTAAAATCTCACTCAAAATAACCCCCATTCCCCCATGTGTTTCTGCAGGAGGAGGAGGGCAGAGTGGAGGTGGGCAGCAGACCGTGCTGCCATCGTCAGCCGCTGGAACTGGCTCCAAGCTCACGTCTCAGACCTGGAATACCGAATCCGGCAACAAACGGACATTTACAAACAGATCAGAGCCAACAAGGTGAGCAGCACAAAGCCTTTGGGTAGCTGAGCTTCTGCTTTGCCTCCTCATGGAAAAAAAAAAGTCTGCTTTATTTCCCCCCTGCTCTCTCCMGGAGCAGATTGCAAAGCTGTGACTAATTGTAATGCAATTTGGCATGGGCTGAGTGTAATTCCTGTCCCTGGTTCAATATGATAAGGTGAAGGCAGCAATACCTTGCTTTAAAGTCAGTCTTTGGTGCTGTTGTATGTATGGTGCTGTTCCCTGTTGTCCAAGCTTTTCTCTTTTTATTTGATATTTTTTTAAAACCTTCTCTTTTCTTTTTTTGGGAGCAGCTGAAGATGGGGATAAGAATAACTGAGACTTAGTGGGGAAGGGAGTGGCCTGTGGAGGAAGTTAGTTCAGATGTTATCATCCGTCACAGGCTTAAAATTGAGTCTGTTTCATAAAAAAAAGATCATTTCTTGGTGCTGACCTTTCTCTGTGGAAGGAATTATTTTTTTTTAGAGTTGCTCTCAGATGGTGGGAGAATGGGGGAGAGCAAAGAAGGGATGAGGAARGGATTGTTATGGAGACTTGTTCTGGCATGCACATCTAAATGTCAGCCCTTGGGGGGAGGAATGTCTGGAGTTTGTGGCAAGAAGGCTGATGGTATTGCATCAACTGAGAGATCCTCAGGAATTCAGGCTGGCAAACGCCTTTCCCAAGATGTGTGCTGCTCTGGGGGTGGGGGAGAGGCTTCCAAGGGGTAGAAGACTGGACTTTGATGCAGCTGTGCAGAAAAACAGGCTTAATTAAGTGAACGAGGGCTCTAAATGAGTAGGTGGAAGAGCACGGCTTGTGAGCAAAATCCATTACTGAGATTAGGGCAGAAGGCTTCTGGGAAGTGGGCAAAGGAAAGATTCTTCAGGAATAATCATCTTCTTTCTGCCTTACAACTGATGGTGCAACGTGGTTTTAAGTACAAAATACAAAATAGCTGAACATTTATATGCTACAAGTTAAGTAATGGAAGGAGAAAACTCAAATAATGATGTGGAAGGTTCAGAACTTTCACCAGGTGATGATGACAACTTGACAGGTCCCTGAAATGGCCTGGTAATGGTTACAAACATCCCACGTGTTTTAATCAAAGAGGTTCTGACCAACAGGATCATTCTCTTTGATTTGTTCAAACCAAAACTCAACTGTGATAACACATGAATTTAAGATAAAACTTGTTGCTTAGGATGCAGGGGAGTTCAGATCTTGGGTGTTTTGGGTAGTGGCTGTTTGGCCTGAAGAAGAAAAAGCCAGAACAACAAATATCACATACCCCATCTCTGAYAGGATTTGCTGGAGATTGTTCTTGTACTCAGCTGTCCTTATCTTGGTGTCATTGAGCTCTGGGATGGTTGTAAAACAGATCCTGTTTGCACCAATGAAAAACTAGAATGAGATTCTTAAAAGGGCTTGGAACAAAAATAGGAGATGAGAGAAACAACTCTGTGGTTCGGTAACACACGAGCTTGCTGGAGTGGATTTGGCTTCAAATTGTGCAAGGAAAACAGTTAAAGAATTTGGAAACACCTTGTTTTTTCTATCAACATAACTCCAGCTTATTTGGCCATAAGGAGGTTAAAATGTAGCTGCTGCAGGAATTCAGAGTTCTACAAGTTCTAAAGTTCAAAGAAATTCTATTTCATYCTTTTTTAGGTTAATTACCTGTATATGTTAGAGTTTACATCCTGGTGTACCCTTCAAGAAAGACACATTGCTGTGTCAGATCAAAGCGAGGGAAGGACCAGGCAGTCAAAAATAACTCAATGTTTTGAGGGTAAACTGCTGCCTGAGTGTCTCAGCAGGAATTGTGCTCTCGGCACATTTGGATCAGCTCAGTCAGATCCTGGTGAGATGGGGAGGAAAACACCATATCAGGGAGTGTGTGCTCAGAGCTGGTTATAAAATACCCTGTTCTCAGGCACTGAAAAATCCCAGAATGCCAGGCTGGTTTGGGTTGGAAGGGATTTGCTTCCAAATTCCTGCCATGGAGCTTCAGGTGACTTCAGTGTGTCCCATGGCTCCAGTCCCATGGGGTTTGACTCGGTGGGCTTCAAAGGAAACCTTGGAGCTCTGTCCTCTCTCCAGATTATTGTGCAGGTTTCCCACTCCAGAATTGTTTYCAGGTGACTGATCTGCCTGTTGTTGCTCTGAGCAGCCTCTTCACGGTACCTTGTTTGAACAAATGCAGCTCCTGGGGCTTGTCCTTGTCGTGGACTGTAGGTTCCACCAACACCCCAATCTCTTGCACATTTTGCCCTGCTTTGTTATAATATAGCTCAGAATATACATAATTACAATGATTTTATTTCACTTTATGTTATTCTGAGAGCAAAGCAGTCCTGCCTTTAGATTAAGCTTCACTTAGAGTAAAACAGAAACAGGACAGCATATGTTAAACCTGATAAAACAGTGCTCAGCCCCTGTGCTTTGTCCCACTACATTTACAGCAATGTCTTTCTTCCCTTATTGAATTTTTGTAGATATCACTTCACGGGGGGAGAAGTCTGCTCAGAGTAACAAGTTTGACTGTAGATTTTTGGCACCTGCTCAAAATTGTTTGCTTGGCCGCAGTGGCGAGTTCCACTTTGTACGATGAAAGCGGTCGCTTCCTGCTCTGTGCTCCAGCAGAACTCTGCCTTTGGCTTGGCTTGGCTTGGCTTGGCTTGGCTTGGCTTGGCTGGCATGTGTGTCCCTGGAGCTGCCCGTGGGGAGGAGGGGAAGGGTGGGAAAATGGGCCCGACAGGGAGCTAAATGTCTCCTGTTAATGGGCTGGAGGCATGTGATCTGGCTGCAGCCACTGTCCTTCCCGCTCCGAGTTCAGCTGAGATGTCAGGAAAACCCAGGMAGCAGCAGAGGGGTTGGGTTTGGCAGCGGCTCTGGAAGCTGTGGTGGGAATTTGAGGGCTGCTGTGCAGCATCATCGGGGTTTGGGGGGATGCTGGGTGTGCAGATTCCCTGTGGAGGCCGAAGGATCTGCAGTTCATTCCTGTTCCCTTCCCTCTCTTGCAGGGGCTGATAGTTCTTGGTGAAGCATCACCCCCTGATCCTGCAGTAGAAGATTCATCCCGTCCTGTTAGAGCTGAAGTGAAGCTGGAACCTGGGGCTGACCGGCTGGTAAGTGCCAGCACTGGGGCTGACTGCTCCAGCTGCTTCCCCTGCACTGGTTTTGGGGAAGGGAAGCGTCATCCCTTAAGCTGTTGGGCAGAGGGATGCTCAAACCTCCTCAAACCTGATCTTGGTCTGTAGCTCACCCCCTCACACCTTATTTTGGGGTTAATMAACAATAGGATTTAAGCACCTTTTAGAACAGAGTTTCTGTGGACACCTTTGTAATATGAATTAGCATTTTGTGAAGCTTTAAAATCCTAACTAATCCTTTCCCTCCAGCCAAAAAGTACCTCAGGCTGAGAGCAAGCACGATTAGCAAAGGCTGCTAAAGATGTGGCTATTTAATATCTGCCTGAGCATTCCCCCTTGGAAAGGGCACTAATGATTGCAGTGAGATGCACTGGAAACTATGCAGAGTGCCAGGTATTTATTATTTAATGCAGAAATGTAGGGCACAGACTAAAGGCTTGRTCATACTGTTCAGCCTGCCTGTGATTGCTTTGGATCCTGGGGGACGCATCGACATTAAAATGGAGGTTTTGGAAGTTGTGGTGGAGTAGGAAGAGAAGGGTGGTCCC